AAATAGTTAACAGGTTAATAAATATGATAAATGACAATACCCACTTAATAGCTGTGTAACCCTGGAACTATCCCTTAACCTCACAAAACCATCACTTCATCTAGCCAATAAAAGGAAATCAAGATGTTGATTTGTGGCACTGTGCTAGATAACTTCTATGTGTTCTCTCACCTGGAATATTCAGACAAACTAATGTATGAGAAGGCACTTTGCAAGTGGAAATGGGCTGTAACAAAAATGAAACTATTATCATCAGAGCAGTACTTGTCTGCACTTGATTTCCTTTACTGACTCTTGTGGGGAAAGAAGCTTCCCAAGCGTGGTCACACTGCAGAGGAAAGACATTGTCTAAAACTCGAGAGTATAGACAAGACAGGTGGTTTTTAATTACGGGTGATTTTGCTCACCAGGGAATATTTGGCAATACCTGGGGACATTCTTTGTTGTCACAACTGGGGGATGGGCACTACTGGCATCTAGTGGGTAGAGGCCACAGAAGCTTCTATAATGCATAGGACTGTCCACCACAACAAAGAATTATCTCAAAGCGTCAATAGGCTGAGAAATCCTAGTCTAGAGAATTGCAAAGCAGGATTCACATCCCAGCTCTGCTGTTTAGCAGCTGGGTGACTCATAAACAAAGTACTTTACCTCTCTGGGTCTCAGTGTCTTCCTCTGGGACGTGGGGATATTAACGCACTTAACTCATAAGCCTATTGGGATGATTAAATGCTAATACACCCACAAACCACTGCAGTGTCTGACACATAGTAAATATCCAGTAAATGATAGTTCTTCCTGTGGTTATTTAGGAATTACTGTCTCCGTTTAAAAGACAGGAAATAAAAGCTCAGAGAGGGGAACAGACTTGCCCAAGATCAAGAGAAAAGGCAGTTCCAGTCCTAGGGTTGGCAAACATCACTAAGAATCTTCTATAAACAAATGCTGTGGTTTTCATATTACATTATAATAACAATATCTTGAAAATACTTACACTCACTCACCACCTTGAAATTATAAAGCTAATAGGCCAATCTCTAGATCTTGTTATTTAATGTTTAAGAAAGACATTCATGGGGCTCCTGGTTGGCTCAGAGGTTAAAGCCTCTGCCTCTGGCTCAGGTCATGATCGCGAGGTCCTGGTATCCAGCCCCTCATCAGGCTCTCTGCTCGGCGGAGAGCCTGCTTCCCCCTCTCTTTCTGCCTGCCTCTCTGCCTACTTGTGATCTCTGTCAAATAAATAAAATCATTTTTTAAATTTTTTAAAAATTAAAAAGGAAAGACATTCATAAAATAAATATATTTTTTAAAGATTTTATTTATTTATTTGACAGACTGAGAGAGAAAGAGAGAGAGAGAGCACAGCAGTGGGAGCAGCAGAGGGAAAGGGATGATGTGGGGCTTGATCCCAGGACTTTGGGATCATGACCTGAGCTGAAAGCAGACACTTAACCAACTGAGCCACCCAGGCGCTCCATAAAGTAAATATTTTTTTAAAAATATTTTGAAGGGCACCTGGGCAGCTCAGTTGGTTAAATGTCTGACCTCAGCTCAGGTCATGATCCCAAAGTCCTGGGATCAAGCCTCACATCGGGCTCCCTGCTCAGCTGGTAGCCTGCTTCTCCCTCTCCCTCTCCCTCTGCCCCTCCCCCTGCTTGTGCTCTCTCTCCCTGTCTCTCTCTCTCAAATAAATAAATAAAACCTTTAAAATATATATTTTGATAATGATTCTATATAACTGGTATTCTTGTTATCCTAAGTAATTTACTTTTTGTCGTTAAAAGTACTCTTCTGAATAGGGGTCCAGAAGTCTTCATCAGACTGCCAAAGGAACCCTTGGCTAAGCAGACCTGAGTGCCAGTCCTGCCTGGACCAGCAACTGCTGTGTGACATTGGGTTTGTTATTTCTCAGGGGCACAATCACCCCTGCTTGGCTCACTCCAGGAACAAGTTAATTCTTGGCTGGGAAAGGGCTCTGGGAACTGTTGGCAGCTTCACAATTTTCCCAAAAGTCAGAGCAGTGTGCTTTCTACCTCCCAGCTAAACCCTGTCTCTAGGAGACCTCTCTCCTTTCCACAGGATTTCCACTCCACCCCCTTTACTTTCCATCTGATAAATAAAGAGGCCAAAGTGCACCTTCATTAGTGTACAAGATCCAGCCTCCAGTTTGCCGAGATGCATAGCTCAGTAGAAAGGTTTTCTGGGGTACAATAACAATTCCCTCCAATTTTCATATCCAACCTTATAGTGACCCTAGAGGATACTACCCCCTCGAAATTCTTCCTCTCTCCTTCAGACAGTGACCTCTCTGCAGCCATGGTCCCTACCTTTCCCCTTTCACTGCCCTGTTCTATGATCATCTGTGTGACTCTCCCACCACCTGCGTGTTTCTCACGGGCAGACCCAGATCTGATCCCTCTCAGGGACTCCAGGGCTGAGCTCAAAAACATGGCACACATTAGCATTAGAAGCTGGCCTAGATGAAGAAAGGTAACCTGAAGCACAGAGAAGTATCAAGGAACGGGGAGAGCTAAGCTTTGAGTGCAGAGTGCCTGATGCCCGTGTTTACCCCACGCACCAAAAGCAAAGGATGGAGAAATAGGGGTGTCCTGGGCATCACAATAACTATTTCCTACTCTACCCATTCCTGTAAAAAATTAGAAGAGCTAAAGATCTTGTCATCTTGAGCTAGCCCCTGCCCATCTGTCCAATGAGAGACTCAGTGGCTTTCAAACCTTTTTGACATGACTCAAAGCAAGAAATGCATTTTACATTGTGCTCTGGTCCATAATACATATGTACATACATATGTAACTGAAATAAGCATTTTATGAAAGAATACTTTGCTTTACTATCCCACAGTGCACTTTTTCTTTTTTTTTTTTTTTTTAAGATTTTATTTATTTATTTGACAAAGATCACAAGTAGGCATAGAGGCAGGCAGAGACAGAGAGACGAGGAAGCAGGCTCCCCGCTGAGCAGAGAGCCCGATGAGGGGCTCGATCCCAGGACCCTGGGATCATGACCTGAGCCAAAGGCAGAGGCTTTAACCCACTGAGCCACCCAGGTGCCCCAGTGCACTTTTTCTATTCCATTTAATTATTGTTTTTTTATTTTTATTTATTTTATTAAGTAGGCACCACTCCCATTATGGAGCCCAACCTGGGGCTTGAACTCACGACCCTGAAATCAATACCTGAGTTTAGCTCAAAAGTCTGACTCTTAATGGACTAAGCCACCCCGGTGTTACTAATGATTATTTTTTAAAACTAGCTGTGACTCATTAACTGGTTACATGTCCCACAGGTCTTTTTCAGCCCAATATCCTGTGACTAGCTGAATGGAACGACTAAAGCTCATATAAAATGGGACAACTAGGGGCACCTGAGTGGCTCAGATGGTTAAGCGTTTGCCTTCAGCTCAGGTCATGATCTCTGGCTCCTGGGACAGAGCTCCATCTTGGGCTCCTGGATTAGCAGGGAGTCTGCTTCTCCCTTTGCCTCTCCCTCCTGCTCGCACTCTCTCTCAAATGAATAAATAAAATCTTTTTTAAAAACTTTTTTAAAATGCGATAACTAAAGTTCAGGAGTCTCTAGTCTTGAATCAGTGTGACTGGGCCAAGCTGTGTACCTCTCAAAGCCTCAGTTTTTCCAGTTTACCCTGAGAGGACAGATAGGAAATTTCTAAGGGCCATATATGGCCCTTTCAGACTGTTATCCCCCGATCCTAGTGAGAACACTGCTCTTGTCACCTGGAAATAATTTCTGAGAGTGGAGAGGTGTGCCCGCTTTGCTTCCTGGGGAGTGGGGTTCCATTTGGGACATCATGTAGCCCTCTTGTTACATGAGTTAACTGCTCAGGGAAGGAATAGACAGGCAAGGAAGCCAGAGGCTGAAGACATTTAGAACTCTACTGGAGGGAGGCCTGACTGGATCAGTTGGTGGAGGGAATGACTCTTGATCTCAAGGTTGTAGGACTTCTGGGTGGCTCAGTCGGTTCTGAGTCTCCCTTCCTCTCAGGTCATGATCCCAGTGTGCTGGGGTCCAGCACCCTCCCCCCTACACTGCCGGGAGTCCCCTGCTCTCTCCCCACCCCCCAGCCTGTGTGCCTGCTGCTCTCTTTCTTAAATAAGCAAAATCTTTTAAAAAATAAATTCTTGGGGTGCCTGGGTGGCTCAGTTGTTAAGCACCTGCCTTTGGGTCAGGTCATGATCCCAGGATTGAGCCCAGCATCAGGCTTCCTGCTCAGTGGGGAGTCTGCATCTCCCTCTCCCACTCCCCCTGCTTCTGTTCCCTCTCTCACGATCTCTCTGTCAAATAAATAAATAAAATCTTTAAAAAATAATAATAAAGTCTTTTTGAAAAAGTCCACTGGAAAAAGAGGCACAGTGAGAACCCCGGAAAGAACAAGGGCTTAGGTACTACACGGACCCAGGTTAAAATCCCACGGACTTGAGGACTGGGGGAAATGACCTCTCTGGCGCTCAGCTCTCGTTTATAAAATGGGTTTGAAAATCCCTGGTCCTCTGGGTTGGTGTGGAGGTTCAGCGAAGTAGTGTACTAGTCATCCATACTGATCGAAAACCGTGCGGTCGCTGCCTGGCCGCTGTGTCCCGCACTCGCCTGGACCTGCCCTGAGATGCCGGCGAGGAGCACAGCGCCCAGCAGCAGGAGGCTGCTCGAGAGCAGCGGTGGAATCCACGGCGGCGGCTTCGATTCCCGCCCTGCCACCTTGGACGTGTCGCCTAGTCTCTGCGAGCTCCCAGCACCCTCATGCATACACTGAGAACGCTGTGAGGCGAGTGGGGGAAGCGCGGGCATAGACCCGCGCCCAGAAGGCTCCCTCCCGGCAGCTCCCTCCTCTCGGCGCCGCGGGTCGCCCTCCCCTCCGGTCCCCCCGCCCCGCGCTCGCGCTCTGGCGCCGGGTCTCCCCGGCGCCCTCCCGCCGCTCTCCACTCCCACTGCTCCTCCGCCCTCCTCCCTTCTCTGTCTCCTCTCCACATCCTCTCCCGCCGCGCTCGGTCCGCGTACCTGGTGGCCCTTCTCGGTCCTCCGGGACTCTAGGTCTCTAGCCGCTGCGTCTCCGCGCCACTCGCCGCGTCTCTCTCTGTCTCGCTGCTTCTCTCTGCTTTTCTCTCCCTCCGTCTCTTTCTCTGGCTCAGTTTTGTCTCTGTCCGTTCCTCGCTTGCCCGGCCGTCTGGTGGCCCCAGGTGGCGACGGGCCCGGCGCCGGGCGCGATGAGCGGCGCTTGCACGAGCTACGTGAGCGCGGAGCAGGAGGTGGTGCGCGGCTTCAGCTGCCCGCGGCCGGGGGGCGAGGCGGCCGCCGTCTTCTGCTGCGGCTTCCGCGACCACAAGTACTGCTGCGACGACCCGCACAGCTTCTTCCCCTACGAGCACAGCTACATGTGGTGGCTCAGGTACCGACCGTGGCCCTAACCCCAGCTCCAACCCCACTCCAGTCTTAGCCCCTCGCTGCACCCTCAGCCCAGCGCGAGCTAAACCCTCAGTCCTCACCCACGTGCCCACCCCAACATCAGCATCGACCGCACCTGCCCTTTAGCCCTTCCGTTCCAATACTGACCTTCGCTCTCACCCTGTCACCAAGCCAGCTCCCTCTGTAAACCCCTTCCCCCATCCTGACCTGAACAGTTATTGGGATCCAAACTTGAACCTCACCCTCAACTCCACCCTGGAGAAACTTGAGTCCATCTCTACTCCCAGTGTCATCCTCTGCCACCATGAACCCAGCCCCAGATTACACACCAACCCTGTCCCTGACACAACACTCCCATCTCCCACATTCACAGGAAACCCAAACTCTACCCTAATCCAAGAGCTCACCAGGGTACCCATCCTAATATGAGCCTGACCTCATTCCTGACTTTACTCACTCCCCAGGCAATACTGATCACCAGCCCCAACCTCCCCGAGTCCTCCAGGGAACCTACCTCAGCTCTCCCGCCCACCCTGACTCCAAACATGGTCTAGCCCTACATCCAGACCTCAGCCACAAGTCTTACTCCTCCTGTCATGCTACACCCCAAGTCAGTCCCAGCCTAGCTGAGGCTCAGCCCTTTCTTCCTCCTTAGATTTAGTCATTCTTTCAGCTACCCCTTACAGAGCACTTAGCTGTGCCAGGCCAGGGGTGGGTCCTGGGGATGTACTCTACTCCCTAGCTAAAGCAGAGGACCAAGAGATCAGAGCTGCATGCAACATCATAAGGCCACAGCAGAATCCAGCTCAGTAAAGATTAACAGAAATGTAATTTGGGTGAATCCCCACCCAAAGGACCTTAGTTTCCCTGCCTGTTCAGGGCGGGGAGTAGATAGGCCAGTGCTGACATTCCTGGAACCTTAAGTGTGGTGCTGAGAGGGCAGTGGGTCTCAGTCTCTATCAGTCTCCAGAGGCCTCACCCAGAAAATAGGACCCGAGCCTAAGCCTGCTCTGGGAAATAGGCATCAGTAAAAATGGAGTGGGCCATCTCAGGAGACAGTGATTTTCCTGTTCCTGGAGGTGTGTGACCAGAGGCTGCATACCCTCTGGGTGGGAAAGGACATTGGCCACAGAAACCTCTTTGAGCCTGTCTTTACAGCTATCAGATGAAGAGTATGATAAAGGATTGCCCTGATTTCTGACTAGGATCAAAGAGACAAAGAGGTGAACTTGACAACTTGACATATGCCACTGACAATTACAGATAATCGCTTTTTCTAGACCATTCAACTATTTTCAGATAGCCAGGCTTGCCAGTCCTGCATATTCGGTTACTATCTGTAACCTGAGGAATATATTAGCTTATTCTCTATTTAGCCACATATTCATTCATTCCTTATAGCCTTTGCTTTGTGCCAGATACTATCGTAGGCAATAGGGACACAAAAATTAATTATTCCCTCCCCCTGAGGAGGCCCACTATCCATTTAGAGAGATATGACATTCACCTAGAGTATAACAATGGAGTAGTTGCTGAAGACCCACTGTGTACTTAGCACTGAGCTGGTGTGAAATATGATAGCACTGACTTCCCTTTGAGGTATAGAGACAGTGTGGAACTCTGGGGCTGATTAGAACCCCGTCAACCCAAACTGTGGCTCTGTCACTTAGTAGCTATGTGAATTTGGCCAAATTATCTCTAAGCCTCTTTTTTCATCTTCAAGATGGCAATCGTACTACCTGTTTGTGGAATTGTGAAGATTAGGTGAAATAATGCGTGTGAAAGAGACTAGTACATACTGTAGGCACTCAGTAGAAGGGAGTTTCTTTCCCTGTTTCACAGGTGGGAAAGTGAAGCTTGGAGTATGAAAGTGAATCGTCTAAGATCTTCTAGCAATGTCTTGGTGGACTGAGATTTAAACATGAGCAAGGATGAACCAAGAGTTAGATGTAGTCACATGTTCACAACCCTTCTGTCCATTTTACAGATGAGAACACTTGAAAGCCGCTAAGGTACTCCCTGGTGAGGCCCTAGTGAGAGCAAGTGGCAGAGCTGGGATGAAAACTCAGGCCTTTCTGGCCCAAGTCCGGGCTTGTCCTGTGGCACAATTGCCTAAACCTAGCCTGGCTCTCTCAGAACCCCCTCTACTCAGATCATTTGAAAGGACACCCAGTGACCCTCTGCTGCCTTCTGGGCACTGTGCTGGCCCTTGGAGACACACACCCCATCAGCACCTAGCCAAGATCCCCTCCCTCTTCTGACACCTCCTTCCCTCTAACACCCCTGTGGTACCCTCCTGTTGCTTTGGCCCACTCATGATATGTGGAATGCTTTAGTGGTTCAGTGAGGTGGAGGGTTGAATGGGGTGACCTCTGAGGTCACATCACGTGTCAGTGTGCTCCCATTCTGTGGCCTCAAGGGCAGTTGCGAGGTTTGGCCTGCAGGGTTGACTCTTCCTTGGCTTGGACATAACGTGGTTCATAAACATCACAGACAGTTGCAAAGTGGAGAAGAGGAAAGGAGGGTCCCCAGGGCATCTAGGTAATCGGTGTACTTTAGAGTACTTTTAGGGTTTAGCCCTAAAACAAGGCTTCTGGAGTGCTCCTCAGAGCCCCACCATGGCAGGGCGGAGATCTTGTTTTGCTCTCAACTCCATTTGGCCTTTTTCATGAAAGTTGGTCCTTAAAAACATAAAAATCTGCAGGTAAACAACTTTTTCCGTGGATGGTGCTCCAGGAGAATTGCTGTCTCTAAAAGTGTGTCTCAGGAAGTGAAGACTCCCTGTGGAGAAGCAGCTGGTGCTATCACATGTCTGGTCCACTTTCCAAACACCCTCTATTAGTAGCTCTGTTTTTTACCAGGACATGAGCCAAAAGGCAGCAGCCTTGCGCAGGGCAGAATCGGTTGTCGGCCGCTGTATATACACCATCTCGTCTCACCTTCAGGGACACCTGGTGAGACAGGAGCTTTAACAAATGAAGAAAACGAGATCAAGAGATGAAGGATTTTTCAGTTTATGTATGACAGAACCCAGATTTGAACTTAGAGCTGCCTGACTCAAAAGCCCTAATGGAGAAATATTAGACCGCCTCTCCAGTTCTTTCCGAGGGGTCAGTGTGTTATCTTGTCTCTCAGAGTTACGGCTCTGTGAACTCCTAGAAGGCCAGCAGCTCTTCAGTTTCTCAGCCAGGGCAGGAAACTCCAGCTTCACTGAGAAGTGTACTCGTCCCAGTGTTCTTTACAAACCGGTGCTTTAATACAGAACTTACCGCCTCTCGAGGCAGTCCATTCACCTGGGGACAACTCCCATCATTTAAAGTTCATCTTCTGCCAAGCACAGATGTTTCCACTTGGAGCCTCCTCTGTTGTTCCCAGCTCTGGTCTTGGGGCCTGGTTCTTCAGTCCCCAGAGAAACCATCAGAGACAGCGCTGGCTCCCTGACTGACTGCTAATCTGGGATATCTCCCGCCAGCTCTCTCACCCATTCCTCAAAGGACCTTACGTTTAGAGGGCCCTTTCCATCCTGCTGGCCACAGATGTCCCATGTAAAGTGTGGGGTCCCTATTGCAGCACAGGCCTTCCAGATAATAGCCTTATAAACAGTGAGCATATCTTGGAAGGGGAAATAATATTTCATTAAAGTACTTACAAGAACTAAAAGAGACTGCATGCTCAATATGGAACGTGTGGAAAGGATAGGGGAATCACGGGAGATCTAGTGGCTTAGCTCGGATTCCCCAAAAGACTTAGAAACAAGGATTTGAGGGCAAGTAGTTTGTATGGAAAACCATCCTAGAAAACATAGGTAGAGGCTGGCAAAAGGAGGCAGGGAAGGGTATGAGCAAACAATAGTGGGTCACCACTGAGGGTCGCTGGAGCTTATACCTGCCGAACTCTGCCGGCCCTGTAGAAATTACACCCCAGAATTATCCCACCTGAGAGCCAGGAAACCGGGTATTCACATACAATTGTGTCAATCATTGGGTGTATGGTGATGGGAGAAGCGAGGGACTAATTTTCCTGCACTTCTGATCTGCTCAATGTACAGATGAGACTGTTCTGGGCCCAAAGAAAGCCCTCAAGCCAAGGGATACAGATGGTGGCATTTGAAACCCTGGCCAGAATATTCTACAATTACAAGACCCCACGGGACACAGGCAGGACATCCACAGCCCACACTATAATCAGAGACAGCCTGTTAGCATTTTGGTATATTTCCACCCAACCTTACATATGTATACTTACGTATATGTTTATGTTTATTTAAGTTGGAGTTATGCCGTATATTTAGTAATATGTTCTACTCTTTTCACTTAGCATTATCTCATCAGAACTTATCCTTGATCTTTTTAAAATTTTATTTTTAAAAGATTTTTATTTATTTATTTATATTTTTGAGAGAGAGAAAGCATGCACAAGCAGGGGAAGCAGTAGGAAGAGGGAAAGTGAGAAGCAGGTTTCCCATTGAGCAAGAAGCCCGATGTGGGACTTGATCCCAGGACACTAGGATCATGACCCAAGTCAAAGGCAGATGCTTAAGCAACTGAGCCACCCAGTCATCCCTATCCTTGATCTTAAATATTACTTGAAAACATGTTTTTAATGGCTCTATACTATTCCACTGCAGTGGTGTTCAATAATTTATTTAGCCATGGGAAGACAGATTTTCCAAAGCTCTAAGGTTGTTCTGCTTAGTGGAACTTAGCTATCAATTAGATGGAAAATAAGTCATCAGCTAGCTGGGACCAAAATTTGGCAGAAGCAGCAAGGGCAGGAGTCTGGGGCTGGGGTCAGGGAGAGGAGTGGCCAGAAAAGCTGGTAAAGAAGTCATAAACAGGAGGGGAACCTCGGTGGCTCGGTGGGTTAAGCCTCTACCTTCAGCTCAGGTCATGATCTCAGGGTCCTGGGATCGAGCCCTGCATTGGGCTCTCTGCTCAGCGGGGAGCCTGTTTCCCCTCTCTCTCTGCCTGCCTCTCTGTCTACTTATGATCTCTCTCTGTCTGTCAAATAAATAAATAAAACCTTTTAAAAAAAAGGCTTAAAAAAAAAAAAAGTCATAGGCTTCATAGACACAAACAAAGCCTGCTGCTGACCTATCCATTATTGTTGGGGGAAAATCGCACAGTGCCTAATACACAGTAGGTATTCAATAATATTTACGAAATGGTTACTATGTGCTAGGGCTTCTGCAAGAGGAGGACAAAGCTCATTATTTATGGTCTGATTCTTCCTTGAAGGAACACATGAGGAATATGTTGAACACCTACTATGTGTCAAGAATATTGCATATATTAGTCATCCTCACTACCACCTGTGAAGTACTGTATGAATGTGTGTGTGTGTGTGTGTGTTTTAGATTTTGTTTATTTACTTAACAGAGAGAGCACACACAAGCATGGGGGGCAGCAGAGGGAAAGGGTAAGTAGACTCCCCACTGAGCAGGGAGCCTGATGTGGGGCTTTATCCTAAGACCCTGGGATCATGACCTGAGCTGAAGGCAGGCACTTAACTGACTGAGCCACCCAGGTACCTCTGTGAAATACTGTGTTTTGATCGTTTTCACTTTTCAGACAAAGAAGCTGAGGCTCAAAAGGTATAATAACTTCATCAAGACCTTAGAGTGAGTTGTTATATACCTGGGTCCTAATCCAGGCAGGTTTGGTTCCAAAGCCCTTTGTTCTTTCCTACCACACAGGGCTGCCTGACCCAGTGGAAAGTGCTAAAGGCCCCAGAAGTGTCCTGGGTGGATTAGCCTGGCATAGGGGGAAAAGGAGAGAGAAAGATGGCCAAGGAAAGCATTATTGAGGAGGAGACATTTGAAATGGGCCTTCAAAGACAAGTAAAACTCTAATGTGGGGAGATGATGGGGGAGGAATCATGTGAAACAGGAAAGACAGTGACTCCCAAATGAGCCAGGAGGTAGTCGACTGGAGAGCAGATGCCGAGGGCCTGACTTGGGGCAGGGGCGACAAGATTGGAGGGTGAAGGAACGGCTGTGGGGAGGTCTTCTAAACATGGAGTCCACACTGGCATGATGACCCACTGGAGGGTGAGTCAGAAACTACCTTGAGGCTGAAAGGACAGCTAGTTTTTAGCTAAGGCCTGCTATGTGTCTTGATTTCTAAGAATCGGCATTGTGGGGAGGGCTGTTTAAGACCATCTCCAGCTCCCTGGGCAGGGTGGGCGGGAATCAAGTCGAAGAAAGTAGGGAAGGAAGGAGAAGAGAAGAAAGGGAACATGTACTGAGTCCCAACTATGTGGTGGCGCTGACGCAAGTCGTTACATACGTGGTGAGTCCTGGGCATATAGCTAACACTCTGTCTCATGCTTAGCCACAAACAGCCTACGGTAAATAGAGACAGAACAGAAGTTGAAGCCTGCTGGTGCCTGTAACACCAACAGCACTTCATACGTCATCATAGGTTACCTCCTAAGTCCCTTCCCGACACTCGGCTCCCTCTGATCTTCTCTCCCCAGCATTGGTGCCCTTGTGGGCCTATCCATAGCAGCCGTGGTTCTCCTGGCCTTCATTGTCACCGCCTGTGTGCTTTGTTACCTGTTCATCAGCTCTAAGCCCCACACGAAGTTGGACCCAGGCTTACACCTCCAGCCTCCAGGTAAGAAACAAACCTCATGATTTCCTTGTATTAAACAGGCTAGCACCCTTACAAAGGGGGGATATTTATTTATTTATTTATTTATTTATTTATTTATTTATTTTTTAAAGATTTTATTTATTTATTTGACAGACAGATCACAAGTAGGTGGAGAGGCAGGCAGAGAGAGAGGAGGAAGCAGGCTCCCCACTGAGCAGAGAGCCCGATGATGCGGGGCTTGATCCCAGAACCCTAGGATCATGACCTGAGCTGAAGGCAGAGGCTTTAACCCACTGAGCCCCCCAGGCGCCCCCAAGGGGGATATTTAGATGACGTTTGGAACCTTTGCCTCACAAGAGTTCCTAGAATATTGTGAAGCAGTAGCACATTTTTTAGGAGGTTCACAATCTGAACATTTACATCCCAAACTCCTCATGTGCTCAATGTTTATCAGAATAACTTGATAGAGTCAACTCAGTATTTATCAAAATAACTTGACATAGTCAGCTCAATGTGTTCAGTGTTTATCAGAATAACTTGATATAGTCAGCGTTGTATTTGTCACACAAAGATTAATCCATTTGTGGATTTTCTCAGACACTGCTTTAAAATTCTAGCCTTAGGGAATGAAAACTGATTTTAATATTATCCCAAACAAAATAGAATTAATAAGCAAAACTTGCTGCTCTCCAAACTTGGTTTGTTCAGAAATTAAATAGTTGTGGGTTTTTTTGTTTTTATGTTTTTGTTTTTTTTGATAACCTGAATTGCTGGACTACCCCTTCCTTCATTATTGGCGTAGGCCCCCTAGAGCCTCAAAGGACCCCCCCCCTGCCAAAAGTGTTGCTTTTTCATAAGTCTTTATTGCACACGCTTTTACAACTTCTGCAAGGTACTATGAAAGATACAAGTGCCTACTGGCAAATGATCTTTCTGTGTAGTTTGGTAGACAACACTCAAAATGAATATTATCATCTCCATTTTACAGATGAGAAAATCAAGGCTAAGACAGATTAGATGACTTACTCAAAGTGTCACAGCTAATAAACGGTAAGGCTAAAATTCAGCCCATGTTTTTCTACCTTGAATCGTGCTCTTTCTTCTGCCTACCACACTGGGTCTGTGCAGATATGAAATTAAGTACAAAATTGTTTAATACCAAATATAAGGATAATTTCAAAAAGGAGAGTATATTTGAATGAGTGCTGAATTAGCAAAGGAGTTGGTTGGGTAAAAGGAGAAAAGGCATTCCAGGATAGGATAGATAATGGGTAAAAATGTGTGGGCTGTTCTGAGTAAGACCTATGCAGTGACTGGGTCATTCATCCTGGGGCACCGTATGAAAGAAGGCCAGGCAGGAATTTAAGCTAAGCAGAAGCAGAGTGGTGGCAATGATCAGGGCAGTAGAAAGGTGGGTAGTAGCTAAATTTCAGAGAATGACAGACAGGGCCCTTTTAGTTGTAAAAGATTAGTTTTCCAGCTTGACATCAACTTGTGCAACAAGCAGCAGCACGAAGAGCCCTTCTCAGATCCCAGTGGCAATAAATAATCCTTCTGTTGCTGAGCATTGAAGAGCAGGAGGGATGGCTTTTGAGGGTAGGAGGATTCTTCTGGCTTGCCTTGTAGTCAGAAACCTGGGAGGCTGGCAGGGAAACAGGAAGAAAGCCTGAGTATAGATCCAGACAGCCCAGGGAGACCAGAGACAGCTCAGGCTTCAACTTTTATAGAGAAAAATCATAGAAGTTAATGAAAGGCATCAAAGAAACTATCTCATGAGATATGGCATGTATGTGGACAGATGGCTCGATGTCACAGACCTGTCACTTCCAAATTAATCTATAAATGAAATTCCCAAGAAAACGTTTCATGGAATTTGTCAAATTGGTTCTAAAATGTATCTAGAAGAGTAAAAGTGCAAAACAATTTTGAAAAAGAAAAAGAGGAGGGACTTGCCCTATCAGGTAAGAGACATTTTTAAAAGTTTGAAAAATTGTCCACTTGATTTTGGCACAGCAGTTGACAGAATTGGGCAATGCCGTGGTCCTTAATGGGGAGCATATTACCACCCAACCCCCCAGGGACATTTGGCGATGTCTGGAGACGTTTTTGGTTGTCGCAACTGGGGAAGGTATCTCTTGGTAGAGGCCAGGGATACTGTTAAACCTCCTACAATACAGAGAACAATGCTCCACAACAATGAATTATCCAACCCAAAATGTAAACAGTGTCAATCTGAAAAACCCTAGAATAAAAAGAGAGTCTAGAAACAGATTAATTAAAATATAGGAATTTGAATAAAACATTTAACTTTTTTAAATAAGGGGAAAATTGGCAAATTTACCTTCATCAAATCCAAATAATCATGAAATAAAAATAAGACAGGGGCACCTGGGTAGCTCAGTCAATTAAGCATCCAACTCTTGATTTTGGTTCACGTCATGATCTCAGGGTCATGGGATGAGCCTGAGAGGGCCCAGTGCTCAGCAGGGAGCCTACTTAAGATTCTCTCTCTCCTTCTGCCCCTCCCTATGCACTTACTCTTCCCCCCCCACCCCCCCTACCCCCCGGGCTCTCTCAAAAAAAAAGAATATACAAAGACATCATACATAACATTACAAAACAAGTGATGGACTACAAAGGTTTTATAAACATAAAGATAAATACATACATATAGACAATCCTCATTCACACAGTTGATATTTGCAAATTTGTTTACTTGCTAAAATTTATCTGTAACCTCCAAATCAATAATTGCAGTGCTTTTGAGGTAATTTGTGGTGTGGACATGTGCAGAGCAGCAAAAAATTTGGGTTGCCCTATCACACACATTCCCAGCTGATGTTAAATAAGTCTACATTCTGCCTTCTTGTTTTCAGTTCTCCTACTGTAAACAAGGGTCTATTTAGTGCCATGTTTTTTGCATTTTTGTGATTCTTGTTAACTTCACTGTTTAAAGTGGCCCCCAAATGTAGTGCTGATATATTCTCTACTACTCCTAAGTGTAAGAAGGCTGTGATGTGCCCTGTGCAGAAAATACATGTGTTAGATAAACTTGGTTCAAGCAGGAGTTATAGTGCTGTTGGTCATGAGTTCAATGTTAATGAATCAATAATATATATTAAATCATGTGTCTTCAAACAAAACAAATTTATGCATTGGACAGTTGACAAAACTGTTGTGACCAAAGGCCCATAGGAACTTAACCTTGTATTTTCCATAGGAGCAATGATTCAGCATTCGTTAATTCAGTGTTTGTGGTGACTTTATAGAATACAACTACTGTGAATAATGAGATACAACTATATATAAAATAGAGATGACACTGACATCCAGAATATATAGGCATATCTTTAAACAAATGAGGAAAATGTAATGTACAAAAAAAAAAAAATCACAAATGCTCAATACACACAAAAAGTGCTGCTCAACCCTACTAATAATGAGAAGAATACAGGGCACCTGAGTGGCTCGTCGGTTAAGTGTCCAACTCTTGATTTCTGTTCAGGTCATGATCTCGGGGTTGTGAGAGTGAGCCTTGTGTTGGGCTCTGTGCCAGGTGTGGAGCCTGCTTAAGATTCTCTCCTCCTTAAAAAAAAAAAAAAAAGATTCTCTCCTCCTTCAGCTCCCCAACCCCAATTAAGAAAGAAAGAAGAATGCAATTTAAGAATGATGTAATTTTTAAATTTTTAAAAAATTATTATTTATTAGAGAGAGAGAGAGTACAAGCAGGGAGAGAAGGAGGCAGAGGGAGAGGGAGAAGCAGGCTCCCCACTGAGCAGGGAGCCCGATGTGGGGATCGATCCCAGGACCCTGGGATCACGACCTGAGCCGAAGGCAGACACTCAACCTACTGAGCCACCCAGGCGCCCAAATTTTTTTAAAGATATATTTATTTTAGAGAGAAAGAGGAAGATTTATTTATTTGGGAGAGATTGAGAGAGACAGAGTATGTGCACAGATGGGGAGGGATAGGGAGAGAGACAGTCCTCTAGCAGAGTCCCTGCTGGATGCTGAGGGCCACTCAGCTGGCTGTATGTCACAACCCTGAGACTGTGACCTGAGCCATAAGCAAGAGTTGGACACTTAACCGACAGAGCTACCCAGGCACCTCAATTATATAACTTTTTTAAACAATTATATTGGCGGGGTGCCTGGCTGGCTCAGTCAGAGGAGCATGCAACTCTTGATCTTGGGGTTGTGAGTTCAAGTCCCACATTGGGGTAGAGATTACTAAAATAAATAAATAAACTTCATTTGTTTATTTACTTTTAAGATTTTATTATTTATTTGACAGAGAGAGACACAGTGAGAGAGGGAACATAAGAGAGGGCAGGGGAAGAGGGATAAGCAGGCTTCCTGCTGAGCAGGGAGCCTGATGCAGGGCTCCATCCTAGGAGCCTGGGATCAAGACCTGGGCTGAAGGCAGACGCTTAATGACTGAGCCACCCAGGCGCCCCAATAAATAAACTTTAAAAAAAAATTACATTGGCCAAAGTCCCAAAATTGGCCATATTAATAGAGAGAAATTTGACTGTGAGGAATTGATACTGTCATATGCTACTGGTAAGAGTATAAATTGGTATGACCACTTTGTGGACTAACTTGGCAGTATCTATTTAAACTAAAAGTATCTATACCCTAGACTCCATAATTCCACTTCTAATTATCTACCTTAGAGAAATAGTTGCACTAGGAGAGGACTTGTACAGATAGATCCATGATAGCTTGTTGTATAAGAAACAAACTAAATGTCCCTCAGGAGAGGAATAATGAAATATGATATCACAGTTAAAATGAATGAACTAATTCTAAATAGACTATCTCATTTGCTCTTCACAGTAACTGGGTGGAGTATAGATCTTATTACTATGCATTTTACAAGTGAGGATTTTACAGACAGGGACCCAAAGTCACCTAGTGAGCGAGTGACAGAGTCATGTCAGCCTCCCCTCTCCTTTGTCTCCTTACCCTATGCTGCAAAAGGAAAGTCCTCACTGCATACCAGACACTGAAACTTTACATGCACTATCTCATCTCATTTTCCCAACTATCCCAGTGCGGGAGATATTATTAGCCTCTGTTTCACAGACGTAAAATCCAGGTATCGGGGAGGTTAGATGACTTGCCCAAGGGTTTACAGCTTGTAAATCATGGAACTGGAATTCTAATACATGTGTTTTTGAGTCTCCAAAGTCCTATTCTTTCTCTGTCACCAGGTGAGTTCTGTGGGGTGCTCCTGCTTGTGTCCTCCTTCCCTCCCCTCTCCCTGTTTTATCCCCTCAAGCCTTTCTGACTCAAAGGAAATACAGTTCATGCCTTGACCCTGTGAATGAAAACCACCCTCCTATTTTTCACTGATCAGCCACCAGCTGGATAATTCAGTTTCCAGGGTTTGAGACAGCTTGCATCCTTGCTCTTTGCTTCTTATTTTTAAGATGGAAAATGCATTTCCTGACCTTTTACTAAGTGATAGCTTTCATCTTTCTCTGCCTTTTGCCCAAACTCAACTTTGTTCCTCCCATTCATAAAGTGCTGTGCTCTCCTTCCTCTGAACTCCCAGCATCTACCAGGAGCCTCCTGTCCCCCCTGCATCTGAGGCAGCTTACAGGCCCACTATCTTACATTCAGCAGAGTTTTACCTTTACAAAAGTGTCTCATTTCTGTCTCCCTCTCATTGGACATATGCAGAGATCATTAGCCCCATCATACGGCAAAGGAAATGGAGGGTTAGCCAAGAAAAGTGAATTAGCCAAGTCACAGAGCTACTGAGCCTGTGTTGCTGAGGAGTCAACCCTGATCTCCCAGATTCTAAAGCCTACAATCATTGCACTGTATCTTGGGGCCATGATACCTGACTGTGGGAACAAGGGCAGTGTGGGAAGTACCTTAACAAGGACAGAGTGGAAATGGACCAGAGTTTCTGAAAATAGGCTCCTCCTGCTGCCCAGGCATTCTGTAATGTCCCATCACTCCCACCACAGCCCGATCCCCCAAACTGAGGATGCACAAAGACCATAACTTTCTTACTCTGGTACTCTGGTACCTTGTGAGGAACTAACTTGATCAGAAGGATGACTGAGTTCCTACCCTTGTGCTAGGTGCTATGCTTTTTACACCTTATCCCCTTTAAACTACTCAACTACTCTACCAAGTGGTGATTATCAACTCTATTTTGCAGATGAGGTGAATGAGGTAAGTGTAGAGGTGATATTCCAACCTAGACACATTTAATAAGAGACAAAAAAATGGGGGGCATTGATAGACAAGAGTTCAGTTCTCCCTCTAAAAGGTGTTGATGGGAGATCCCTAATTGGCCCTTCTCACCATCCATCGGCTTGGTGTTTTCATTAAGTTAAACATACACTTATTCTATGTATTAGATACCTATGGCTACTGTAACAAATTTCCACAAACTAGGTGGCTTAACATAACAGAAATGCATTATCTCACATTTCCGGGGGCCAAAAATACAAAAATCCGTCTCACTGGGTTGAAATCAAAGGCTCCAGGGGAGAATAAGTTCCTCGCCTTGTCCAGTTTCTGGTGACTGCCAGCATCCCTCTGCTGGAGCTGTATCACTGCAATCCCTACATGTGTCTTTACATCACTGTGCGTGGGTCCGTCTCTGTCTGCCTTTCTCTTATAGAGGCAGTTTTGATGGCATTTAGGATCCACCCAGATAATTCAGGATAAGCTCCTTATCTCAGAATCCTTAATTTGAGGCATCTGGGTTGCTCAATTGGTTAAGAGTCTGCCTTTGGCTCAGGTCATGGTCTCGGGGTCCTGTTTCAAGCCCTGCATTGGGCTCCCTGCTCGGTGGGGATCCTGCTTCTCCCTCTCTCTGTAGCTCCCCTGGCTTGCACTCTCCCCCAACTCTCTGTCAAATAGGTAAATAATCTTTAAGGGGGAAAAAAAACACTGTAATTTAATCACATCTGGCAAATTTTATCATATAAAGTAACATTCATAGGTTCCAGAGATTAAGACCTAATATCCAGGGGTTACTATTCAGCCCACTACACCATATAAATCAGCAATTACACTCCTATGTATTTATCCTAGAGACATGAAAATGTACATCTGCACAAAACCTAAACATGAATGTTCATAGCAGCTTTATTTGCAATTGACAAAAACTGGAAACAACCCAAAAGTCCTTCAATGAGCAGATAGTACAACCATACAATGGAATATATGCAGCCATAAAAAGGAATGAACTACTGATGCACACAAAACTTCAGTGGATTTCAAGGATGTTATAAAGAGTGAAAAAACCCAATCTTAAAAGGTTGTATACCACATAGTTCCATTTATATCACACTTCCGGTATGACAAAATTATAGTAATAGAGAATGGGTTAGTGGTTACCAGGAGTTAGATTTTTTTTTTTAAGATTTTATTTATTTATTTGATAGAGAGTGAGAGAGAGAATGACAGGGGAGAAGGTCAGAGGGAGAAGCAGACTCCTCATGGAGCTGGGAGCCTGATGTGGGACTTGATCCGGGGATTCCGGGATCATGACCTGAGCTGAAGGCAGTCACTTAACCAACTGAGCCACCCAGGCGCCCCCAGGAGTTAGATTTAGAAGGAAGGTTCAAGTATAAAGAGGAAGCATGAGGAAGTTTCTTTGTGGTGACGGAAGAGTTTATCCTGATTGTGGCCGTGATTATGTAAGTCTATATATGTGATAAACTTTGATAGTACACCACAAAAAGAGTACATATAAAAACTGGTAGAAATTGAACAGGATTTGTAGTTTAGTTAATCATACTGTATCAATGTCAGTCTCCTAGTTTTGAAGTTATCTTATGGTTGTTTAAGATGTTATCATTGGGGAAAGCTGGGTGAAGGATAAGTGTACTTTTTTCTTTTTTTACTTCTTAAGAGTCTTCAATTCTTTAAGAATAGAAAATTCAAAACAAAACAAACAACAAAAAAAGGAAATTTATTGGCTCTGTAGGTGAGAAGTCTACAAGAAAGGTGGGCTTTATGCATGGTTGAAATAGAAGTTCACTATGTTGTCAGGCTTGCGGCTCCATCCTCTAAGGTTCTTTCAACTCTACCCTCTATTTTGAGTTGGCTTACTCCTCAGGCTGACTTTTCTTAAGGTAGAAAGTTGGCTACCAACAGTCCCTGGGGCCACCAGCTTTTTGTTTCCCTCTAGCCAGGAGAAGAAAGAGGGAACTATCTCTTCCTTCAAAGGTGCAGGGAGCTGAGCTCTACTCTGATTGGACCATTCAGGTCATGTGTCCATCCCTAAACCAATCATTGTCCTCAGGGAAATGCTATGCACCCATTACTGAGCCATGTGGCAAAGGAATAGGATTATCTGATTGGCTCAGCTCAACCAGGCCCCACACCTATAGTTGGGATGGGACCAATACCAAATATAATTGCTATTACCAGATGGGAAGAGGTGGAGTGAATGTTAGATAGCCAACTCCAATGTCCAATATAACTTGCTTCTTAAAATTCACTCTTCCCCTAGTTTCAAAGTTCTCATTCTTCCTGGGTATCCCCTGCCCCCCCCACCATCAATGGAGTTTTCTAGACAGAGAAGGTAAAAAATGTCATTCCAGGCAGAAGTAACAGCATAAGCAAAAAATCAGAGATGTAAAGGAATGGAGCTATTTAGGGTACAATGAAAACCTTGGTGTCGCAAACACAGAGTTCTTAAGAGTGATAGTAATGAAGCCAAAGAGAAGGGATAGGCCCAGTATGTGAAGAGCCTTGAATGCCACCCCAAGGATAACAGGTAATGAGAAGACACTGAAGGCTTTTGAGAAAGAACAGTACATGGACTCACTTGACTTTAGAGTGTTCTCTCTGGCTACAAAGTGGAGGGTAGACTGAAGGAGACCCAACTAGCGGCTGTTCCAGTGGTCTGGGAGGAAGGAGATGAAAAGCTTGATCGAGGGTGGTGGCCATGAAGATGTAGAGAAATGGGTGAATATGGAAGATGGTAATTGATGAAATCAGAGGGACTTGGTGACTCACATTTCTGGCTTGAACAGTTGATATGTTTTTTTGTTTTTTAAGATTTTATTTTAAATAATTTCTATATCCAACATGGGGCTCTAACCCACAACCCTGAGATCAAGAGTGTCATGCTCCAGCAGCTGAGCCAGCCAGGTACCCCTGAACACTTGATACACATTTTATCCAAAAAAGGCAAGAATGCTCAATTATGTCAAATGCTCCTGACAAGTCAAGGGAGATAAGGATTTGTAAGTGACTGTGGGATTTAGTGACAAAATATTTTGAGGTATGTTGGGAGCAGAAACCAAATAAATTTTGGCAGAATAAGTAATGAATGGTAAGTGGGGAATACTAATGTCAAGTGAGCCTCCTTTCAAGCTTGTATACAAGAGGAGGAGAGGATAAATCAGCAGCGTGTCATTGAATCTATTCTTAAAGAAGAGAATAATGTATGTTTTAAATTTTCCAACACATCTCTGCATGCTAGCTGTGTAGTCAGCCTGTATCCTCATCTATAAAATGAGTTTTTAATAGTACCTACCTCATGGGTTTATGGTCAAGGTCAAGTCTTCATTTTTTCCTAACAATTGTTTATTGTCTGTCTCCCCCACTAGACTTTAAGTTCATTAGAAACACTGACAGCTGCTATTGAATGATGTAGTATGTTGTTAATAAATATTTGTTAAGCGAATGATGCATATAAGACTGAGTGCAGTCCTGCCCAAGGTGAGCACTCAGGAAAATTGGCCAGGGTGAGTTTGACTGGGGGAAGAAGGTCTGTAAGAGGAATGCCTTGTGCTTGCTGTTTTCTAGACCCCAAGGAGGAAGCGCCCCCTGGCCGCCAAGGTGGAAACGCAGGCAATTCAGTGGAGGTGCCAGGAGTGAGCATTCCCTGGCAGAATCACCCCTTCCTGAACCCACGGCTAGACTACAATGAGGAGCAGGCCATGGACCCCAAACGCCTGCTCCAGCACTGCTTCATGGCCACAGTGACTGCCAGTGACATCCCAGGCAGCCCTCAGGAGGCCCTTGTCCCAAATCTAGACCCATGTGGACCAACCCCATAAACATCCAATAAATATCTCTACACCATCCTTTTCTGGAGCCTCTTTTCCATGAAAGGTGGGGGTAGGGATGATCAAAGGGACTTGGGAGACTGGTGGGATAAATGAGGGCTTTCCCCAGCAACTCCACCCAGGCCCTGCTTTGGACCCAGTTACACTGCTCTGCCTTGCCGCCTGTGAGTCAAAGAGAGTTTAGACATGTGCCCGGGGGAAATGGTCAGTAACAACTCCACGCAGTCAGGGGGAAGCCTGGGGTTATGGAGTCTCACAGGAGCCGCTCGCCTAAGGGGGAGGTCAGAGAACTCTGACTTGGTCTTCCTGTTACAGAGCAGGTATATTTAGGATCCCCCAGGAAGATGGCTGGGACCCAGAGGCAGGTGACTCCTAGTTCTCCTGCAACTCTGCTGTGAGGAACAGAATGAGAAGGAGTGGGGGGGTGGGGATTAAATTACTTAGTCCAAGCAAAGTACTTAGAACAGCGTTGGCACATGAAAAGTGCTATGTGGGGGCGCCTGGGTGGCTCAGTGGGTTAAGCCGCTGCCATCGGCTCGGGTCATGATCTCAGGGTCCTGGGATCGAGCCCCGCGTCGGGCTCTCTGCTCAGCAGGGAGCCTGCTTCCTCCTCTCTCTCTGCCTGCCTCTCTGCCTGCTTTGTGATCTCTCTCTGTCAAGTAAATAAATAAAATCTTTAAAAAAAAAAAAAGGCGCTATGTGTTAGCTATCATCATCATCATCATTGTTATTATTATTAGTTTACTGGTAAGGAATCTTAGGGCAGGATGGCTGACTGCCACCCCTCTCCTGCCTATTCTCTTCATCTTAACTTTGGCAGTTGCTTTAGGCTTTGCCTTGGGAGTACAAGGCAAGGATTGGAGAGAATCAGTGGCCACTGAAAGCAGCTCTCAACATTTCTGGCGGTGATATGACCTGCTGCTGGATTTGGCGACAGTGAAATGGCCACTCTTAGATATTTGGGCATGGGGCCTGAGCCAGCCAAGGGCACATGGTAGGGTGACAAGGCAGGGGGTGAGTCACCTGCAGAAGTGGTCTAGGCTGGAAATTGAGAGAACTTGGTTTTGGTCTTCATTTGTTGTTTTGTGTGTGTGTGTGTGTGTGTGTGTGCATATGTGCACATATATGTGTCTTTTATTTTTAGCACTCTGAACCCAGCACCTTGTCTGCTTATCATACATCCAGCAGTGTCTATTCTGTGCCAGGACTCGCATGGGTTACCAGAAACAACAGGGAATCAGCCACAGCTGCTGCCCTCAAGGGGATCCCATGGAGGGCAAGGAGAGCACACGAAAGGGAAGTGGGCCCAGTGATGGCCCCTCATGCAGTTTGAGCGAGGAATGAGTGATGTCTGAGCTGAATCATCAAAGATGAGTCAGTTTCCAGGAGAGACAAGGTCAGAAGCCATTATGTTCAGAGTACAACTTGTTCTAAAACAGAGAGAGAGCCTAGCGCAGCTCAGGAACTGCAAGTTATCTGTTGGGGAGAGAGCTTAGGGTACTTTGGTGTGTGCGTGTGTGTGTGTGTGTGCACGTGCGCGATAGACGAGAGGTTTCGTCACTGATGTTCTGCATGACCTTGCACAGGACAGATCCTGTCTCTCTTCTTTATATCCGCATCAGTTAATTTCAGTTTTCCTCCGAACTTCCTATGCTGAGCCTTCCAGGACGTTTCAAGGAAAAATCCGATACAGCCTGTGTCCTTAGGCTACTCATGGACTGATGGGGGGACACAGTCTGTAAATTCTAAAAACTCAATTGGTCATTAGTGGCCTAAAGCAGTCGTTCTCAAACTTTAGACTGCATCGGAATCAGGTGGAGGACTTGTTAAAACACAAATTGCTGGGCCCACTTCTCTCCCACCATGGAGTGTCTACATCTGTAGGCCTGGAGTAAGTCCCCACAATTTTAACTAGTTCCAGGTGATGCTGATGCAGCTGGTCTGGGCCAGCTTTTTGAGCATGACTGGGCAGGAAAAACAAAGAGGACTCAGCTGGAGAGATTAAGAGGCAAACTCATACTGAAGAAGTTCCATGAAGGCCTAGTAGAACTTCCCAGCAGGAGGCTGTGTAGATGGGGTGGGGAGAGGGGAAAACAGACTGTGTGTTTTGCTGACCTATACATTCCAGGCACCATAAAGCTCTTCCCATCCCCCATGTTTCCGGTTCTCCCATTTGAATTCAGTCAGTCCTCAGAGCTGGCTCTCACTGGGGTTGGCTTCTCTAAGTCTGGTGTCAGAAGGCAACTGCCCACCCTGTGCAGTGGGAGCCTCCTTCCCTAGGGCCGTGGAGCACGAAGGAAGCTGGGTGGGCTGACTCACAGACAAAAATAGTCTGCGCTCACCGCTGCTCCCAAGCACACATCGACCGGCAATTATCTCTTGTAAATTGCTTTCCTGCTTACGTTCAGAACATGTGAGTGTGTCTGCCTGCCCGCTTGAGAACAAACACTCAGAAGGCGCAGGGTGGAGGTGGCCAGCTGGGAGTGGGCTCCAGATGGAGGGAAGCCCAAGTCTGAATCTTCAGCCAAGAATTAGGGAACTGTTGAGTCTCAGACCTTGGAAATATCAGAACCTTGCACTTGCCCTTGTAACACTCCCACCACTTGGTTTTCCAGCCTCTCAAACATTCTCATTTGTTTCTTCCTTCAACATTGACTGGCAGTGATTCTCTACCAGGATCTGGGCTAAATGAGGTCCCAGTCCCTGTTCCTGAAGGAGCTCATCGCTATGGCATCGATAGAAAATTCCTAACACAGCTAAGAGCTTACAGGAAGCTTCTTGGAGTTAGTAATGTCTGAATAAAGTCTTGAACCCATTGACAGGTGAAAAGGGGTTTGTGATGCAAGATGGGGAACAGCGTTTAAGGCACAGGGAATAGCATACATAAAGGCCCGAGCTAGGAGAGAGCAGATAGTGATTCAAGGGACAATAATAATTCAGTATGGGTGGACTCTGGAATCAAGGTGGGATGGCGAGAGATGAAGCTGGACGGGTATGTGGGCCAAGCCCTGAAGCCTCTGCCATATTAAGGGTCTCAGGCTTTATCCTGAGGGCAATGGAAGTGACTGGAAAAGGTTTGGCATGGGAAGGAACTCAGAACCTTATGTGATAGCTTGCTTTCACATTCTTCATGAAACTGAAGTAAAATGTGTTACCCAGGAGCTCTGCTTTGGGGACCTATAGAAACCTGCTCCTTTGGTTCCTGAAACCCCAGAAATCTGAAGGGCGGTGATGGCTCTCATGCCCACAAGAAATGGCTCGGGTCCTGGACGCTTATTAGGGGGAGGAGGCCTTTCCACTGTCATTAATGACTCTGCTCTTCTATACCCCGTTAGCTCAGGGGCCAGAGCCTGGTACAACAAAGTCCCAGGCCATAGAACAAGGCCCAGGCCATAGAACCAGAGCTGTGCCTCACTCTGTCATGGAGATCCAGGAGGCTCTCATGTGCACAGCACTGGGAAGGGTATGAATGGCTCCTTGCATACCTTCTCCATACCTCTCAGGATCAGGACCACCCAGATTGGATGGTCCACTCAGGGAGTATTGACTGAGGACACCCTGTGGGCCCAGCACTGTGACAAGCCCTTTAGGAGAGAAGATGCAGCTCTGTAAGTCTTGGCAACTTCCCACTACAGATGAAAAGTAGGTGTGACCCATAAGACCCCTAGGGAGCAGGGAATCAGAGAATTCAAAAGCAAATGCAAGCTGTGGGTTAAGAGCCATTAGAGTTGTGGAGAGTTTGTAACAGAAGAAAAGAAATAGCCTTGGAAGCCTTTATGGAGGAAGTGGTGTTAAATTTGACCTTGATGAATCATGGTAATATTTGAAGGGTCTCAATGAGGTAAAGAAAGTGTTCTATAATGTCAACTTTATATTTGAAGAGAATATTACTTGTGGCTCCAAGGGCTTTGAACAAGTAGATCTTTCATTCACCAGCTCTACATCAGCCATAGTCATTCAGTATACACTTACTATCTTTTGTGTGCCAGACCTTGGTCTGAGCATGAGGAACAAAGTAATGAGTCAGTCAAAGTTCCTGTCCTTGAGGAGCTCTCAGGCTATTGGGGAAGATTGGTAACTTAAAGAGACAATTACAACATAGGACAGAAAGTGCTTTTCCTATTCACTGATTGAAAGATGGTTATGGTAACCTTATACGTGGTGCTACATTAGTGCAACTTAACTTTGCCACCCCTCAGTCAAGCAATGGAATGTATTTTCTCAGCCTTGGTTTCTATGCTAACTTTGTGATTTGCTTCCAAAAAAAAAAAAAAAAAGAAAAGAAAGAAAAGAAAGTGGCAGAAATGACACTGCACCAATTTTGAGTCTAGGCTTTAAGAGACTTTGCAGCTTCCTCTCTCAACTTGTTGGAATGCAGTGTCACTATGCAGGAGCCTAGAGCCCACTGGAAGATGAGAGCATGCAGAAGCTACATGAGCTCTCTACTGAGAGAGAGACCAACCAGCTAGACCAACCAGCTCCCAGCTGAGTGACCAGAAGAGTGAAACTACATGAGTGACCCCAGGTGAGATCAACAGAAGAATCACCAGCTAAGTCCAAAGCACCAATCCACTGACTCATGAGCAAATAAATGGCTATTGTTTTAAGCCATACGTTTCTGGTAGTTTGTTACAGGGCAAGAGATTACTGATGCAGTTCTTTTCACATACTTTGTTACAACTGTGAACCCTGTGTCCATGTCTTCTCTATTTGCCTGTGAGCTCCTCCTTAGATGAAAGAAACTGTGCCAACTGTGTACCACTCCAGATCCACTTTCTTCCCTTCTCCATCTTGCTCTGTGCCTTGAGAGGGTTACACAAAGAGGCTACCTTGCCCTCTGGAATCTGGGGGGGGGGGGGGGGGGTGGTCCACTGGAGTCCCAACAGAGTACATATTCTCCTAGCTTCCTCCCTGAAGGCTCATGACAGGGTGCATCTCTGCGCCAAGGGATAATCCTATCCCTTGGATTACAACACCAAGTGCTTACAACAGCTCTCTTTGTC